CTTATCATATAACAATGAACGGTGTTTTCTTTTTAATTTCTTTGGTATTAATTTTAATTCCTTAATTTTATATTTTACAAAAACACTTTAAATAAATTTACAGTAATTTTATTATAGAACTAAAATATATAGTCTACATATGAATTTTGAAAAATGACAGTTTAATCTTCGAATCACTTTAATATAGAACTGACAAATACGTGAGCCGTTCACAGCCCGACACACGTATTTGTAAAATCTAAGTAACTCGTACAACATGGAATTCATATAAAACGGAATCATCAACAGTGTTATGGGGGGTCGAGTGTATTTCAAAAAGAGAGAGGAAAATTTTTTAAATTTCCGTAGGAGTTATATATAACGAAGATCAATCCTAAGATTACACTTTAACTAAAAAAAATTATGTGATGTTTTACGTAAATATACTTGTATATTAAAATATTCAATTAATGTACTAACCGAATTTATTCAACAAATAAATTCAAAATAAACTTTTTACGAGTCTCCTGGTGTTTGCTGGCGTATCCAGCATCGAAAAAGTCGCTTGCAGTTTTCTGACAGTACGCTGACAACAACCGGAAATTGCCTGGGATTTTGAATAGGGGTGCTGAGAGGTGCTGGCTACCCGCTGAGATCTTGAATACGCCTAATAGCAGATAGTACAGTGCGTGCAGTATATAGTTGTAGGCTTGTAGCCCAATACCTGGTTTACCCCAAGGTCTTAGATTTATAATCTAAGACCTTGGGTTTACCCATCAAAATACATCAAATATTTTATCTCTCAGTGCGCGATGCACTGTACCTCGTTTTTCGCGCAACTTTTAAATTTGTAAAAAACACTGTACAGTATGTATAGTACATTGTATTGCTTTGTTTTTTTAATGTGTTGAATATGGTCTACAGCAAGACAAGGCTTATGTCGATCGAACCAATTGGACCCGTGCCTAAGGAGGTCCCGCAGTAGAGTGTAATCGACTCTCGGTTTGTCAAGTACACACAACAACGCAAAATAAAAAAAAAGCTTTGGATATAATATGTTAGCGAATTTCCCCGAAAGCTGTGGCGAAGTTGCTCGATGGGGTGGCGATTGTACTCGACATTTGATTATAGGAAAAAACGGATTAAAATACGAACGAACGAAGAGAAAACCATCCAATTCACATGTTTTATTGACTATGAAGTCGCTGATTTTCGGAAGATTACTGTAAAAAGCAGTACAAAAATAAATTAATATTTTTAATAAATCATTTCACAGTCACTAGAACAAGCGGTATTGTGGCCATGTACTTTTCAGAGATGATATACAAATTTTGTTTGTCACTTGTTATTACATGTATGCAGTTTTATATTATTAAAATGTGGCTTACATCTGTTTGGTCTATTGACTCTCGTGCATTTTTTTAAGTGAACATTTTGATTGCTTTCCATACCTGAGGCCCACAAAATTTGTTCCTAATTGGGCCCCGCACCTCCTAAGGTCGACCCTGCCCAACAAACAGTATTGAGTTAAGGTTTGTGCTGAAAGTATTCAGAGAGGCTCTATTTATTTTTCTAAACCCCCGTTAACGCTTTCCTCCCTGTAGCCACTGAAAAGGTCTATTAGCAAGCCCATTATAGGTTAGGTCCGGTCCTAAATGGATTGGCCAGATGGTAAGGGACGATTCCCGAAATATCCGGAAGGATCATGCTCCGAAAAATTCCAGGGGTTTCGACCTATCGGCATTCGATCCGGACACTCCAGAACTATATGTTGCCACTCTAATCACTCGGTCATCTGTATCGTGTTAGTCGCTAATCAATAAATTTTTTAAACTTTTATTTATTTAATTTTAAGAACATTTATTTAAATTTAATTAAAATAATCTTCTTGAAGGATAACGACCCGCTCCCGATAATTTTAATGTAGCTTTACCAAATGTATCTCCACAGATAAATTTATAACCTGAAAATTAAAAATCGGTATTATAAGAAATAACTTTTACTTTATAGGCCTATATATATTATTTTTTTTAAATCTAAATTAGAAATAATTACCTGGGATATGCCCGGTGTATCTAGGAATTAATCCTGTATGTAGGAAGGGAAGAGCATGATTAGGAATATGAGCTTCACGTATTTTAGATTTGGACGGTTTTGCCAAACTAGATATAATGGAGTTGTTGTCAAAAATTTTCTGACTAGATCTTTCTTTTGTAAACTGACAAAGAGCTTGATTTGTTGCGGTAGGATAAGTCATCCCATAAGTAAATTTTAAGCGCGGAACATGACCGGTATAACCTGAAAATGTTTTATATAATTTGCCTGTTTACGAATTTCATTTCGTTTACAAAAAATTCATTACTTACCTGAAACATAATATTTTCTTGGATCAGAAGTGCTCATGAAAAGAGGTTTATCTTGAAAATTTCTATTAACTTTATGCTCTGGCCATAAAGGTACGAATCTGTTTACTGGTAGCTGATCAAATGATTGAACATGTGTTTGAAACTAAAGACATACAACAATTTTTTTTTTCCTGTTAAAATTGAATTTTTTTTCCAAGAAAATAAATATGAAATCTTATCATTTGAAAGAATTACTTTATCAGAAAATTTATTTTGACGTGATGTACTTTCTGATAAATTCTTATAGGAAAGAGGTGCTCGGGAAGAAATATATTTATGAGACAAATATTCACTGTATACGTTCCAATCTGAATCAGGATCTAAGTTTTGAAGATTGCTTTCTGGAGCGGTTATAAAATCGACATAACGTATGTTATTTCTATAATACTTATCTGTTGTAAGAATAAAAACATTTATTAATAAAACAAAATTCAATGAAGCATACGAAATATGAAGCAATTAACCATGTGATTTTAGAATCATAATACGTATAGAATATCTAAAATAATCAAACCTGGAAGATTAGTACACTTAACATCATCATCTTCTCTTCCTTTATTATCATTAAAATAAGTGTAATGAGTATAAGAATCGTTTAAAAATGGATAACAATTTTTGAAAGGATGAATAGTATCGATTCTTTTCGAAGTAGTAACGTAATCTCTCATCTTATATCCTTTTCGTGAATATTCTAAATAACTGTATTCAAATACTAGATATAATATTTATCTTTTAACAACAGATATAATCATTTATCTTACTTTTTTGAAAGATACATATGAGGGACTTCGTTACTGAGAAGAGTTAAATCATAAAATGCCATTCTTTTCGATCCTCTTTCCAAAAATTAGATATAAGATAATATTCTTTTCTTCCCAATTTTTATGATTGTATTGTTATATAACAAATACAATAAATATTTAATATCAATAATAAATGAAACGGGCGTAAATACAATTGAAAAACATTGAATTTTTTTGGTAAAAAGTTTATTCTGTTATCTTTATCACATATGACACTTGCGTAATTAAATCAATATAACTAAACACCTGTTCTCGGGATTTAAAATAATAAAATTACTATAAAAACATAATCAAATTATCTTCTTTTACGAAAAATAGACTAAAATTTAAAAAAAAAGATTATTAAATTATAAATTCATTCTAAGTCGCATAAAATCGGTTAATTTTAAAAAATTAAATAACGATTTACTTTACCTTTACTATATAACGGAGTAAAATGGCTGATACAGCGTGTAACCAAACTGTGATGTCATAAATACCTATATCTTTTATCACGTGATGTTATATTAGATTATGTTTTTTACCGCGTTTTACATTTACATTCGAAACATATAATGAATAAGCTTGTATTCTTAACACACTTAGAAAATTTAAATTTATTCTGTGTCCTATTTGAGTTGGTAAAGTCGAAAACAAACGAAATACTCATTTATGCCGACAATAAATGTAATTATTACTGTTCTTATCAACGTGTATTTAGGTTTTTCGGATAGAAATGAACGAAGCGTGGAACGCATCGTAGTGTTTAAAAACAAACAAAACGGTACACGCAGAAGAATGGAATGCCGTACTGTATATATAGGTAATGCCTGCATCATCGGCCTAGCATACAAGAAAAGATATGCCTGGTGTATTAAGTAGAGAAAGAGGTAAAAAAAAAAATATAAAAAAATAAAAAATAAAAATGACGTATTTATTATCGTAATAATTTTTTAAACCAATCGAGAAACGCGTAACACTATTTTAAACGGTCGTTTTTTCCGATTACACAGTTCGTTTCCGAACTGACGTGATCGGCGATGACGTAATAGGCGACGAATTGGCGGATCTGTCTTTTTACGATAAACTCACGTGGCGCCATCTAGTATAGGTGAGGAATATAGCGAAGAAAAGGAAAATTAATTCCTCTCGGTAAAATTGGAATTTTTTTTTGACAACCGTTCGCCGTAAGAAATTTTAATAAGGTAATTTACAATATTAAACATACTATAAGTTAATTAAATATGGTTTTATATAAACGTTTATGTAATTTAATGAGCTTTATCAATTATATTTTTTTGTTGGAGTTCACAAATGGGCTCGACAGAAGGAAGGAAATTAATTTTTGAATTTTTTTTTTCCCCCTTCAAACTGATTAAGAGTTGAAATAATTTAATTTTGACGAGAATTTCGTCAAAATTTAATCGATATTATATAATTTAATTAAATATTTTTCAAATTTGTTTGTTTTCGTAGGGATATTTCGAATTTTAAATATCCCTAATGTCTGTTAATCTGTTAAAATCTGTTAATTTTTCCCTCTTGATAAATTTGATTTTTCCCTAATTTTTTTCCCTTTCCCTTGTGATAAAAGTTGAGGGAAAAGAAACTTTTAATAAAACACAAATAAATTTTTATAATTAATTATTCAGTGGAATTTCATGAGTCATTCATTTTACAGAAGGTTCTGGATGAATTTATTGTCTAATTCATTACAATCATCACATTTAAGCAAATAAAAAGAGAACAAATTTAAATCTATTCTGATTTAAAATGCTTGTAATTTTGAAATATCAGCTTATGTGTCGTTAAAGAATCAATATTTGATAATTGAGTACGCGTTCGATATGCACACAAATAAATAGGTTGAAAGTTAACTGATTTAAAAGTTTTGATCGATTACGTAAAATATTGATCGCCTCTACGATGAGAAATCGATCGAATTGATAATTCATTGAAAGATCGATTGTTTAAGTTCTTTTTAAATTAAAATCAAGACTAATGTTAATGGAATCTGATTAAAATAAGATAATGGAAAGGATATATAGGCTTGTCTGAATTTCTGTATTGTTACAATTGTCAAAAATTTGGTATTGTATTGATAGCGGATGTTCAGATTAACGTTGGCTTTCGTTGTCGAATTAATCGATGGTCGTTCCAAAATGTAAAACTGTAAGGAGAGAAATCTGTGCAGTTTGGTAAGACACCAACTGATTTGTACAGTAGTTCTTTTGCAATACAGGAACTAAAAACTGTACCATAAACATAACTTGACCCTGACAATAATCCCCATGTTGTGCTTCGGAACTTGGCCCCCAGCGTATCAAGTAATGTTTCTTGTCATCTATAACTGCATATAGATAAAACAAAGTCATGCACAATTTTATAAAAAGCAATTGTCCCAGTTCTAAAACAAAATAAATGACCTACAATTCACAAAATTATTATCCAGTTGCCTTGAGTAGTTGCATGGACAAAATAAAAGAGTTAATGATAAATAAATGCTTTATCTGACATCTCAAACTGACATTTTGGATCCGTGGCAGGAATATTTTTACCATTGTAAATCTGTCCCGGAGGAACAAATCTGTATTGAAAATATTCTTTTCAAGCTATACCTACAAGAACATGGAATGTCTCAAGGGTTTATCAGTAACACTTTATATATCAACAAGGTTTTAAGATTATCATTTTAGTGTAAAAGGTACACTGTATTTATATGAACTACAATTATGCTGTGCAGCAGCAGCAGCAGCACACATACCAACAATTGATTCCAAATAACAATCAATAAAATATTCATGGGCAAACCTAAATGAGGTTACCTTCTCCAGAACAAAAATAGCCTGTGTTCACTCCTGCAGAATGTGAGGATTCCATATAGGTACTCAGACCTTTCTAGGAGGACTTTCTGTCCCATTTCACATAGATATTAAATTCCTTGGGATAATCCTAGGTAGATAAGTGTTCTTACTTTGAATCCAATATTTATTATTTTAAAAATGGGCAACTGAGCTATGGATATCCTAAAAAGCTATACCTTATTTGGAGAACTAACTGCTAAACTGTTAGGAAAGTATACATACATTGATTCTCTTAAAACTTAATTGAGAGCATCATATATAGATTGGCATCCTTATTAAACTTATGTCTGTTTTATCCAATATATTATACTGGAATATGCCTCTACATAGGACTGTTTCAAACTGCACTCATTCCTAGTCTGTATGTGAAGAAAATGGAACTATCTTTATTACTGAGATGTTTTATTATTATTTGAAACTCTAACTCTATACTGTCCTAACTTTATCATTTAACTTATCAATAACAGAACCTTTTTTACAAATAAAGCCTTCATACATTGCATTTTTCTCATTATAGGTTTATATAAATTCCTTCAAGAATTAAATCTTTCCATGACTTACAAGACAAAAACAAAATTGGATCAAACCACCATGATGAATTACCTCTGCAGTAGTGATAATTTCTCTCACTGATTATCCAAAATCAAAAAAACTTTTTCAAGAGCATTGGTCTTAGTACTAGTTTTCAAAATCTATGTTTACAGAGATAGGCCTTTTCCAGACAGCATAGTTACCAGCAAATATGATGTTTACATCAGAGATTTTTGCAGTATACATGACTTTGAACCATATAAAAAAGTATAATCATGAACAAATAGTTTTGTATACAAATTCACTTCATGCATTGAAAGTACCTATACATACTTTTGAAAGAAAATAGAGGCAACCACCAACATTGACCAATTGTTCTTATATTATGTGAACAACTAACTTAAAAGAAAAAAAAATCATGTGCTGAATTCCTGGACATGCAGAATGTAGAAAAACAAAAACAACTGACAAACTTGCCAAACAGATTAACTTAACTACTAAAAATATTTCCAGCCCTAATTATAAAGATTTTTACAGTGGTATAAACACTTCTATTGAAAATTGCAGACAAATAACTAAATTATGCTGAAATCTATTTTAAACATTTGGATGTTTAGTCAACGACAAAATTGAAAAGAGGAAGTAATATTGAAATGATTGAGAATAATCTGTGCAAAATTAATATACAGCTATCTTTTACATGAAGAACCTACAGCCAATCTGAACTGCTATTTCTTAGGTTGTTCAGAAAGTAAGTTCGTTTTTTTTCCTCACGGAAAAAAACAATATTTTTATAATAAATAAATATTTTATTGCATTATATATTGACCATTTAGTCAAATATCTGTTGTCATCGTTTCTGGTAGTAGCATGATTTCACATTCATAAAAGTTTTGATTGTTGCTTACAAAAAAAACTGATCCAAGTGATTTTTGACATTGTCATTTCAAGTAAATGTCTTATAGTTAAAAAAAATTTGTATGGATTGGAACAAGTAATAATCTGAGTGTGCTCGATCTGGCGAATATGGTGGGTGCAATAGCACGTCCCATCTAAGTTATAACAGTTTCTAACGAGTTACCAAACTTGTGTGAAATTTGACATTATCGTGGTAAAACACTACATGTGTTTTGTTGATCAATTCTGGCCACCTTTTCTGTTTGATGATATTACTCGATTTGTTTACTCAATGGCAGTACACTTTCAAATCAATTGTTAAATTGTCTGGTAAAAGCTCCAAAAAAAAAATTTTCTTAAAATCCCACCAAAAAGAGCATCTCTCTTTAAGAACATGTGGAACCCATATATCGAGCTTTGAAACAAAATTAAGTTGTTTCAAGTAAGCATAAACAGTTCAATTTGACAAATTTAATCTCTTAGTGATTTCACGTGCTGTTATTCAGCAGTTTGCTTCAGTCAGTACCTTTATTTTGTTTTCATTGGCTTCAACTGGCCATCCAGAACGTGGTGCATCTTCAATATTGAAATTGCCAGAACGAAATTTTGTAAACCAGTTTTGGCATTGTCGTTCTGTCAATACATCTTCTCCATACACATCACACAAATTTTTCTTGCTTGAACAGCATTCTTACCTTTTCGGTAATAAAAGAGCAAAATATGCTGAAAATGCTGCTTTTGATCTTCCATATTTGATGGAACACAAAAAAATAAACAATTACACAAAATCAAACAAAATTTTTTACAAATAAGCCTTAAAATGCTAGCTATCAAAATATATAATGATAATACAGTTTAGGATGAAAATGGCAGGAAAAATACGACTAATCCGTCTAGTGGTAAAAAAAAAACAAACTTACTTTCCGAACAACCCAATATAATTTGGTACATACTGTTAACCTGTCTGAAAGTATATCACTTGAACCAACAAAAATTTCCAGATGATAGTGCACTTCGAACCAAGCTACTTGTGGACAATAAACAATTCAAATCAGTCTTTGCCTTTCTTAGTAAAACAATTTTAAACACTTAAGTTATATCATTACTATATGAACACTGTTTATTAACTTATATATTATACACTTGATTGATTCCCAAACTTTTTTGAGCCATTATCCCTTTGGTTCCATAAGGTTATACCCAATATCCCTAATCCATTTTACCTTGTGTGAGAAAGGTTGGAAGTATTCTTAAAAAACTTTTCTATAAACCTCACACTTTGTGTCATTACCATATGTTGTTCTTCTTATCTGCAAACTATTAAATGCAATGTTTCTTACCTGTTTTAATGGAAAAGGAAAAGTTGTCAGTAACCTCACCTATAGTTATTGTTTGGTTAAGACTGACTCCCAGAGGTCAATACAAGGGTGAGCAAGGTGGGTGGTTGCCTGGTCAATGCAAGGGGTGGCAAAATTGGCCAAAGAAAATAAAAATAAAATATTTTTAATTGCAGATAATCAATTATTTTACTTTTTGGAAATAATTAAGAAATTAAATGTGAGATCTAAGCCCTCAGATCTTTCAATTAAAATTACACTGTGTCTACATTTAAAAGGGGTGGCAAATAACTATCTTGCCCAGGATGGATAGCATAATTGCTATGTTGGACTCTACTGACTCCAGCCTTCCCCTTGCCTCTTTCTGCGCCCTAGGTTTATTCACCACCCTCCAGGGAGTAGTAGCACCCACTTTGGGAACCATTTCTCTAACTGATCTGAAAACTAGCCTGGTTTGGTTACTCTTTGGTATATCAAGACCTCTATATTCAGAATACGAGCAACAACAATAATAATTATCTTGTATAAAAGAACAAAACACAAACATTTTTTTAAATTAAACATTTAAAAGAATGT